GTGTGTGTGTGTGTGTGTGTGTGTGTGTGTGTGTGTATATATATATATTTATATATATATAACAATTCTGTAACTGTAACTTCGGTCGTAGCTGTGCTTTTTTTTGGAAATCGAATTTCCCAGAGGAACCCACCCGAGGGATTAATAAAGTTCTATCTTATCTTATCTTATCTTACATTACACAAAACATCACATGGGGAAGACAGGTCAGAGAGGTATAACAATGGAAAAATGCACCACATGAGGAAAGATAAGGAGAAAAAAAATAACTCCCCCACAGACTGAGCTCCAACAGGGAGATCAGTTTGAGAACAGAAAAAAAATTATGGGTGTGTGCATATCAGTGTATATGTATGTGTGTGCGTGTCCAGAGTTCAGCTGAGACAGTGTCCTTCGCCCTGCTAGGCTAAGTAAACAGTCTTCCAGCCAACCCAGGTGGCCTTGCATGGAATGGGAAGGAACAGACTAAACACAGTCGTTCTGTGATGTTGTCATTTCTTGTGCTCAAGGAGCAGATTCTGAGAACTCACGGCAGTGCGCCTCCCCGAGATGTCATCCAATTTGTGCACAGAGATTCCGAGCTAACCCTTCCGAGGTGTAATCCAGTCTGCAGTCAGAGATCTTATGAGTATTTATAGCAGCCATAGCCTTTCCAAGATCTTATCCGTGCTGCACTCAAACCCATTTTGAGAAACTCACGCCTCTCCCATTGTTTCAATCCCAGCGGGCAGCCTTGTGGGGGTTTGAACAACAGGTTCCGCTTCCTTAATTCTTCGATAAGTCAGGGCCAAGCCAGCTCCGATCCGCCAGAACCCTGTTACCATGGTTCCGAATAGGTAGATATCTTCAGCACTCAGGCTCACCCAAGCCCAAACTTCTCGTTGAGAAAGGGGTGTGAATTGCATTTAAGGACCAGTTGATCCAATCCATAATTCCTCTTTTAGGTTTTAGAGAACTGTCATGAATCGCTGTGCGGCAGGCAGGAGTTGGACCCAAATGCAGGACTCACAGACTCGGGGGGGGTGAACTCAAAACACAGCTTTATTTGCTGGCAGGGGAAAAACATACAAACTAAACTAATCTAAACTGGGACCAACAAACTAAAACTCACAAGGAGGGAGACAAGGAGACACAGGGAGATCCACACAGCATGAGGGACAACACAACACTGACTCAGAGAAACACAGGGTTTAAATACACTGGGGAGTAACGAGGGGAATGAGACACAGAAGGAGGGCACAGCTGGGAGAAATCAGGACTGATGATGTCGTGTTTTCAATAAAACATCAGTAGTAGTGAGCAAGCTTCTTTATTTTAACGTGGCTCACATCCATGCACGCAAACATAACCTGCTGCTGCTTCTACGACACAGTATATATCACAATTTATATATCACAAACCTAGGATCACTGGACTAAATGACTACAGACCCGTGGCTCTGACATCTGTGGTCATGAAGTCATTTGAGCGCCTAGTTCTCTCC